TTGGTGTATATGTTTCATTACATTGTACATATAACGAATAGCTATATTATGCGGTCATTAATAATAATGATATTATAATATATTTTTCCTTTTAATTCCCATATGTGCAAATTGTTTTATTGTTTTGTCATATCGCACATTTTCCAAGACAACGTATCTTAAAACAACATACTCCTCATTTTGTCAATGTACAATGATGATCAAGACAAAATTCATAATAAGACGCGTTTATATAGACTGGAGCATAATGTTACACAAATCAGGAACAAGTTGCTTTCTATCAACCAAATTCCAAAGATCAATGAATAAGATCTTCATAATTGTTTGAGGAATGTCTTTGCAACACAGTTGTGCGACACAGTGAAGATCTTGTTATAGTTAAATCGCTTTCAATTGGCAGATGAAAAAGTTCAATCGTTCCTCGAAACATTAACTACAATTTAGAGAAGATTCTGTCTGTTTCGTAGCTACTGATATCTGATATTAAAAACGTATCGTTTCAACAAACGTCGTTTTAGCCAAGCTAAAATTTCTAGTCTTTGCATACTAACAAATGTATTCTATGGAATCCTAGTAACCGTAATTTATTTATTAATTTATCATTGACTCCCTTCGACGAGTGATCCATTGAAAAATTTTCTCAATCTATTATTTTACATAATTCTTGACAAGCATATTTGAGTGCCTTCATAGTGTTCCGGGGACGCAATGCTTACAGCGTTATTAACGTCAAAGTAAATCCGTCCCTGTCAGTAGGTTTGAAAGCTGCTATGGTGAGGGAGGAAAGGCGATGCAGAGAAGAAAGAATCGGATTTTGCGGATCAGATCTGTCAGATAGTTGGTATACTACTCGTCACCATCGTCAATGGAGCCATCTCGAAACGGCTGAAACCGATCATTCGGCACAAAGAAGATGAAAATTGCTTGTTTTTGCGAGTCGAACACAGACCGCGTCCCTCCCTTGAACGGAATTATTGAATTTCATTTCCATCGCTGAATGAAAACATCGACGAATCCTTTTCAGCGGTTGAACGCGGTTTCGTCGACCGGTAGCTGCGGCTCATTCATTTTCCCACAGGCCGGTGAACGCTTTCACGGAGGAGGCTCCGAGCCTCCTAGTTTATTTCTCGGTGACAATTTATATTCGCATCTGGACAGGAAATCCGAAAAATAGTGGCACACCTTCGACCATCGATTCATCCCTCTCTGCCTCTTCTCTCATCGCGGAGAATCAGTTATTCTCGGAAGAGTTCGACAACCAGGAAAGCGAGAAATCCCACCGTATATCCGCGAACTGAAACGACAAATTCGCACAACGTGCTACCACATCGAGATACCGGTAATCGCTACTTGAGAACACTCGGTTCGCGGCTGTTACTCGTATAATTATCGCCTTGCTGTGTATCGACCTGCTTCAATTATACCCCGCCATTCTTTCTCGCTCGTGCTTTGAACGAAACTGGTGTTAATCAAAATTCCTCGTAGCTAAAGCTGATCTATACTCTTGAAAGAGCTGGTCGTTAATACATTTGTTGGCATAAAGAATACGAATGATCGGTAGGTATTTTAAAATTTTGTATATACTGTTCAAAAAGCGGAGGTTAGGTAGAAAATTGCTTCGTATAAATATTGTAAACGGTATTATAATTCAAGTAAAAAGGAGACCTATACATAAAGAAATAAGTCAAAGGGAAAGAATTTTCGAGGAATTTGGATTTGAAAATTTGTCACGTATATATTTGAATTTAACTAATTCTCGACAGAAGTGGATTATCAATTTACAAGATTTCTATGAAAAATTATGAATTTTGGTGAGGCCCACTTTTTAAATTATTATATTATTACAACAAAGAATTAATTAATCGAAGAAAAAAACGTAAAATTAATTAATTAAATGAAGGAGCAAAGAATTACTTAAGAACATTTTTTCATTAGCCTCTGTCACGTGCTTCATCGACATGTAGTTCTATAACAGTAGTTCTTTAAATCTTAAATCAAATTGGCTCATTGGCTTCAAGTTCTCATATACTGAAATCCTCTTAGAAATACGCATGCTAATGCGATTAACCTGGCTTCTGTTATTTCCGTTCACCGAGAAAACGTGAGCTTTAATGAGCACCAAAGCAGATTTATAAATAAAATAAATTTACTTCGACCGTACGGATATGAAATTTAGTTTTAACTCGATTATTTCAATTTAATTTAAAATTTCACATATCGAATCTGCTCGATAACACCGTGGTTTTCGCTATTCATTAACAGGCTGAAACGAGGTCTGATAAAACCTTAATCCGATTAATAACTGAGTATTATTATTAACATGAAAATAATTATTAAATAATCAATAATCAATAACCATTGATTCAACGAGTATAACAAGTACTCAAAGGCTGTAATTAATTTCAAAATTATTCATCACAAAAAATTACACCTTTGATCATGCTACATTTAGTATTTTATTTGTAATATTCGTTTCATGTTGTAAAATACTTTTGTGATATCTTTGTACACCATAACTATTATTATCAAACGAATGATTGGATAATTTGTAACTTTGCCCCGAAATCTTGTATTGTATGATAAATGGAAAGTAAAATGATTATTGAAAAAGCATTTGCAAAACACGTTTCACTGAACTTTTAATCGTGTATAAAAATATTTTAGGACGTAAAAAAATTACACATTCCTTTTACCGAAACTTGTGATATCATTTGACAGTTTAAGTAATTCGGCGACGTGAAAAATTTTATAAATGTATCATAAAATATATATGTAATATTTGTAACATATATATGCATAATATTATTGATCCTAATAAAATATAAAATAATCACTGAATTATTTAAATAATTATTAATTTATCCCAACAACGATTAATTAGTCATTACGATCAATATAAACTATTTAAAAAGACTATTTAAAGAAATTCGATTTATTCGAGTTTCCAGTTAATGTCAGAGTTAACAGAAGAATTCAAAAAGTGGGTTGAAAGGCACGTTTTAGGCATATTGCTTGGGGATGGGTATTTGGATGTGAAAAATGTTCAAGTTGGAGGGAAAGTGTGGCAAAATGTTATGCTAGAAAACTAAAATCCAATTTCTCGCACAAAGACCACGATACATAGAAATGAATGAAGCGTACTGAATTTAGAGAGAACATACTCGTTCAAAATATCTAAAATAAATACTCTAATAAACTTTATAAGTTTCTGAACGACCGTTGTCTTTATTATCGTAGTCTTACTGTCGCGCTGCGACAACATCATAATCGATTACAGAAATGACTATAAAAGTAGCCAGTTACTGCCTAACTCCGGATTAAAGGAAGATTGGCCAAAACAGGCTGGTGTAGCAGATTACGTTATTGCTTGTTTAGAACGTGTGTGCGAATTGTAATTTCGACGCGCCTTTGAACAGATTCCCCGCGGTCTCTCAGGACCGTCCGAGGGATCGTTACGTCTCTATCATTAAAATTAGAATGATCGACGCTCAGAGAAAATTACAGACCGTCGGAACTTCGTACGTACTAATGGAAATCCGACGGAAATCTAATCAAACGCGAAACGCAATCCCGTGGATTCGTTGAAAAAAATTCTCCCCGTCACATTCAGCTACTTTAAAAGATGTTTGTTTCCCTCTTTGTTTCTTCTCATCTTTCTTCATTTTCTCCGAGTTGAACGGCTAAAATTGCTCGAAACTTTCACGGTGCTCTCGTACGATTGATTGGTTATTGATTCTCGTCTGGTGAGAATTTAAAAACTGATTGAAGAACAATCGACTGATCGTTTGAACGATGGATTGAAATTTTCGCGAAGCAATCCCGCGGAATTTTTGCGTAAAACAAACGAAGGGCTTCCCATCGAAGTTAAAAATTGATCCTTTTCTTCGACTGTTGAAAAATATTGAAACGTAGTCGAGAATATTATCAAAAATATAAAAATATTATAATTGAAAAAAATGTGTATTGTGTATCATGATAAAAATATTAAAACAAAATTGGCAAATGGGAAATAAAAAATTTCAGAAACGAACGCGATGCACATAACATATAAAACATCTAAATTGCATACTAATTGTGCCGAAATTAAAGAACACTTCGTGATATTCCTATCAAAATATCTCCTGAACTAATACTTTTCTCTTACAAAGATCTTCATGATTTTTTTATTATATCATTGGATACAAAATAATAATAATAATAGGGTTCAATTTAAAAAAGTTATCGTCCATCTATAAAAAGGACAAATTGTATTATATTTTATTTCAAACATTTTTATATGCTATCTTTGTCGCATGTAATATTTAGGTTTTTTTTTTGTTTTTTTTTTTTTT